CTAGACGTATCATGTTGGCATTTAAAGTCAGCTGCCCGACCTCCCATTTTGCTTGCAATCAGTAATTTCAATACACCAATCATTTGTATTTCTGAAACCTACAGTATGTTATTCCTAACAGCATCTCTAGATACTGCAGCTCAACAAGCATCATCAGTGCAGATGATGTGACTACTGCTGTACTTTCAAAGCTGCAGGAATCAGAGTCTGGTTTGGTACAGTATGTCACTAGGATTGTATGCACAATTGTATAGCTTGTATTATTTATAGGTTTCTACTTAAATTTCTTTTCTATTACAGGGCAAGACTCCTCTCAGTGGCATGCAGTAGCAATGCCCACAAGCTGATATACAGGAAAATACATTTAATCTAAGAATAAACATTCTTATTGAGAAAGGCTGGCCAACGCACTGGAAAAGGTTGACTTTGGAGTCACCATCCTTGGAAATACTCAAAACTGAAGATACAGCCCTGAGCAGCCTCCTGCAGATGACCCTGCTTTGAGCAGTGGATTCTGACTACGTGATATCCAGAGATGCTTTCTGACCTCAACCATTCATGTGATTCAGTGACCTCAACACTTAAAAAAAAGTAGAAGTCAACGGTCAATGTCACTTTTCTAAGAAAAAATAACTTGTTACTGATGAATCACAGATTATGGAAAATGCCTCAAGCCCCGAGGCAGGAGGAACCCTAAAACTGCTTTGCACTGTGCCAGTTTCACCTCCTTCACAGTTGCTGCAGCTCTTGGATGGTTTGAAGTGACAGGAAGCCAGAAAAAAAAATGTTAACACATCTGGAACACTCTTCACTTGTAAATTCCACAGATAAGTGTAAATATCCTGTGATTCATTGTTTTAACTTTGTTCAAAATTGTAACCTGTTTTAATTTATTGGGAGTAGGAGAAGACAAAAAAGATGAAAGGATTCCATATGGAAGAGAAATGTTTTACTTACCATTGTCTACTATTTGCAAAGTGTGATGTTCAAAGCTCATTCTTAAAATCCGGTTTTTGAAGAACTGGCAGTTATAAGTTGACCTGAATAAAAATCATCATCTGCCTCTTCTAGCCTTCAAGGATAATCCCTCATAAACTTTGGAAGACCTGGCACCAAAGGCCTTACAGAAGTTAGAAAATTGGCTGAACTAATAGATTGCTGCAGTGTAAGTTAATATTCACTCTATTCTCCCACCCTGTGCTGATTCTTCCGTTTTCACCCTAAAATGTAAATAAATTAATAGAATTTACAAGGATTAAAATAGATTGCTTCCAACAAAATACAAAAGCAAAAGGATGCTAAGTGCAAACAACGGAGTACACAACATCATTGCCTCTGTCAGTTTTGTATATGGAAGTAGATAATAGCATATGCAACACTATAACTGTTCATATAAAATCTTCATGAACAAAAAGCTCGCAATTTTCTTAATTGTTTGAATGTTTAAAAGACCAAAAGGCTTCACTTACCTACCTCTGAAAATCCCGCATATTGTAAAGCTTTCTCACAGTAAGAATGATAACCTGCCTGCTGTAGGGGCCCTGCTTTGCAGGGGGCTGGGCTCGATCTCTAGAGGTCCCTTCCAGCGCCTACAGTTCTGTGATTCTGTGGTAACATATCAAAAGAGTCACAGCTATCTTGTCAAAATCCTAAACTGGATAAGGTTTTCCTTATTATTAATTTATGAATAAGTGATACAAATTAAAGAACGTTAGATATGAATATTCACATATTTCTGCAGTTCAACAGATCTTACTTCTCAGGACACTCAGAAATGGCCTAGGCAAGCACATGAAACCATCAAAATTCCAGGTCTCAGTGTCCTGGAATGAAGAAGGGAGGGCTAATGGTCAAGAGACGGCAAAGAGCTAGGGCTGTCAACAACGTGTCAGCCTTCCATACACAACACACAGGAACAGTGCTGGGCAGTACACACAGTGTTCTCCCAGGTAAATTGAGCCATTTTCAAACAAAAACAGACATAGCATAAAATATTACCATTCAATAAGAAATCATTATCTGGTCCCTTAAGTAGCCCCTGAAGTAGAGAGTCGTGGTGAAAATTTATCAGTCTTTTTCCTCCAAATGGAATACACACTTCAGTACCCTAAGAGGTCTACAGCACATGAAATTTTAAAGGAATTGTTAATGTCCTTCTAGGTTTTAGAGTACCACAAAGAGATACTTGTCATGCATTTTCACCACAACAGATAAATGCTAATGCTTGTAGTACGCAATGCTTTCACAGTGGTTTTGAATACAAGCCATCTTCTGCTCTCTTGGTGGGCAAATTAATGAGATCAATAAATTTTAAAATATTTCCAGATACAAATCTTTACCTTCACGAAAGCGATTGGTACGTTCACAATGTACACAGACAACTTATTCTGTGGAGTCCCTGAAAGGTTACTCTGCTCTGAGAAATGCAAAATGTCAAAGGCCTGGGAATTTTCATATGTGAACCCACACTTTGATGTGGGAAAGGTCTGTGGATGATGCTAAAGGTCAGAAGTGAGGGTCATCCTTAATCAACAAGGTTATACGTTAAATTAAACTGAAACTACAAGAAGCATAGTACCTGGAATCACAAGCACTGCTCTGATTACAGTAAACAGATTCTTAAAGGGCAAGACCTTTTAAAGTGATGCTGAAAAGCGTATTTATCAGAATAAAAAAAAATAAGTACATTAAATAAGTTTCTCTCAGGTAATTTCCATACATATTTTCAGTGTCATGAAAGTTAAAGCTACTTCAAAAAACCTTCCAGTCATAATTATTCATCCTTTGATTGGAAGCAACGCCAACTTCAATTACAGATTTAAGAATGAATAACATTTCTGCCCATTTCAACTGGCAAACTACATATTTCTGTTACAATAAGAAAATACAGCTGATTTTATTTCGTGATTTTTGCTTTCTTTAGAAAGAAATTATGATTCACAGCCTAGAGCTTCTAATCTTTTAGTGGTATTTTTCTCCCCTATCTGTCCTATCGCTCTTTTCAATGGGAACGGGCAGATATTAAAATATATCCTTTTATTTGAGCTAAAGAAACCTTGAGCAGACGTATCTGGGCTTGGGCAAGCTCTACAGGAGAACAAAAAGGGAAATTCCACAAGAATTACTTCAGACTTATTAGGGTCTTGTTTATATTTTTATTTGAAGAGGAGTTTTTGACCTTGTACAGTTTCCCACCAACCTACTCCTACCCAGGTTATCTGTCAATTCCTTAATCTGCAAGGCAGCTAAATGTACTGCTTAGAATTCTGTTCTGTTAGGCACAGCACAGTATTATAAACACACTGCTGACCATACGAGTTACTTAAACAAATAGCTTTCGTTTTGTATAACGTGCTAAAGTTAATGGGAACTGAGGTAGTTCATTTCATGGGACATTGCCTGAAGCAGTATTAGAAATACAGACTCAACTGAGATTGTCAAAGGCTTGATCCCTTATTTGCTGTGCTTAGAGCAGCATTCCTGGGCTCTTGGGAGGAGGTCTATGTGATGCTGCTTCCTCACCAATACTGCTGACACTTCTGGAGCTGCCAGGGAGTCTTCCATAATACAAGATTGTTCCAGCTGCAGCTTGACCAGTGCTGCTGCAGTCAATGAATGGCACTTCCCTGGTAGATGGACCTATACTGCTCTCATTAATTTAAATTAAGCAAAGGAAACCTGAGCTCACTAAGAGTGTTCCTAGTAAGTTAGGTAACACTTAACATTCAATAAACCAAATAAAACCCCAAATTTTCACTGGAACAGTGTTATAACTGTCTTTTTCACAAGTACAGAGACAACTATAAGTCAGGGTTTAGACTGATGGTTATTTGTTTGAAAATCAGTACAGGTGTCCAAGTAAACAGATGCTTTTCCTGTTAACTGAAAACAATTTCTTTTTTTCCAAGAAGCACCTGTCAACTGAAGCTAATTTACTGATCTGCTCTGTAAATATTGTGCTTTGAAAAAATTATAAACCTCATATTGCAAATTCATTATTCTTGTATTGCCAAATTTTGAGCCATGAACAGATTAGCTTTATGAGGCCTCCATCACAACAAAAAGGTCCTTTTTATTAATGGTTACTTGAAACATGTATGTTGAGTTACTTAAAGAGGCAAATTGTTTTGCGCTGCCTTTTAAGTGTATTGCATAAATATTGTATTAAAGCCTTAACTTACAGTTTGTAAATAATTTATCTTAAAAATACTATTCCACAAGACCATCAGCTGCTGAGACATTTATTTTCTGCTAAAAAAATGTATTTGCTGCAAGTCTTAGTTTAAGCAGTAGAAGATTTGCTAAAAGCCACATGTTTGAATACCATTCCTGTAACATTTGTCACCAAAACCTCAGAAAGCTACAAACCTTATATTCAGTAGGTTTTATACCTTTGAGTAAGCACTTTCATTGGCAGGGGAAAATGTTGAAATCTACTCAAGGAAGTTTTCAGATACAATTATCTATCTGAAAATAGCTTATAGTATATTTTGTGATGATCAGAACAGTTCATAATTTCATTATGTTTCATTTCACTACAGTCCTCCCCGTGCCATTTCTATTTCATGTTGCTGCATTTTAACTACTGTACAAACTTGTTCAAAGTACTAGACATTAAAAAAATCAAAGGAAATTTCAGATAATTAACTTTGATGAACGAGCATATTTTAATTCATGTCTGGTAATATTCTTGTTAATGACATGTCTGCTTAGGACATCCATTAAAAGTCCATTAACTTAACAGGGAAAGTCTAATAAAGTTATCCTGGAAATTTTCTGGTATATTAACATTATGGACTTTTAATGAATATCTGCTGTAGGAATTGCTATTAGCAAGCCTACCATTCTAATTAAACTCAGGCTCAAAGAGAGTGGAGAAACAGTATGAAGATACTAACAAGCAAAAGTCCATTTTTGGAAAATTACTATAAAGGACATTGGTATGGGTTACAAACATGCTAACAATAGCAGCTACAAGCATTTTTTTCCCTCCAACACACCTATTTTTTCATATTTGTCCTTCACCAAATCTTCCAAGCCAATCATCTTCCAGAAACTGTCATCCCAACCTCCATCTGAAGAGTACGTCCACTTGCACACTAGCGTACATAAGGACCTGAAAGGTGAGAACACATCATTTTAAAAGTGTTTGCACAAAACCATCTCTTTAATCACTGCTCAAAAGTCCCAAGCATAATGCTAACAATTTATTTATTTAAATTGGTTAATGTTTGGAGTGTAAGCCTTGAGATACCTTTAAAAAACCTTATGTTTAAAATTCTTTGCTGCTGTAACAGCTCCTTGTCTAGCCACTTGATTGCATCAATCAGTCAGTCTGGCCATGCAGCTTCTATGGCATGAACATAACAGCCCTTCAGCAAACAGCTCAGGGAAAAGTTGTTGCTTCTCCAGGCTGTACCTAAGTAGAAATGTTTTGCTTGAAGTATGTTCTTAGAAAACCTATTTCTTACATGCAAGCTGAATTACAATTTGCAGAAGATACATGCACTGATAATTAAATGGCACTGCCTCAATACCTGCAGGTATAAAAATGCCTTTGTCAGGTGAATGTGCTCAAGTAAATTGCACAGAACTGTCAGAGCTACTGTCCAGCATGTGTTTAAGTACCACTATCATCAGCTGTGTTTCAGTAGAAGCTGATGACAGTTCAGTGAAATGTTGAAATAGCATTAGCCATGATGCAAGTGAATGCAACATTAAAGGTTTTGATTCAGGTCTCATTGCTGATAATGGTAAATGATGAACTTCACCACGACAGTACAGCATCACAAACACTTCTACTTCTCCTAAAGTGACCCATACTCTTAACATACCATTTCCCTCCAAAATATGTTCCAGGAGACATAGTATTTTAATACACTGCTGCCTGTCCAAACGCTAAGAACTACCTCAGATCAGTATTCAATCATTCTTCATAAGTCAGTAAGCTAAAAGGCATTAATAATGGTATTTTCCCCAAATCAGCTCTTACTGAAAGGAAAAATTAGGACACAGAACTTCAATGTAAGATCATTTCATAACATTAGGAAAAAATGTACATAAAAAGAGTGAAACAATAGTGCATTATGTTTCCTCAAACACAGTAAGTACCAAATCATAACAAATTATCATCAAAACAGAATATGCATTTTTGTAATTACACCAATGTTATGAACAGCTGCCACATCCTGAAAAAAAGCCCTATGACAACTAGATGTCATGGCTTCTCACTTTCAAAGCTGATAAAGCAGATCCCTCTGAGTCTCCATGCTTATCCAAAGAGAAACTTAGCCAGCTCGCTGGACCCTGAAGAGCAGCTTTTACACCTGCAGGGGCCAGTTCTTCCATGCAGCTTACTCTAAGCAGCATTATATACACATAGCTCAGTGAAATGTTGTGAACAGGGGACAGTCTGGCCTGTGCTAAGTATATCCACAGCCTTATACAGATTCTTAGTATCTAAGAGAAAGTTGTATATTGCAGAAGGGCGTTCTGCTCTCTTAAATTACAGCTCAAGAATCTCAGTTAATGGATTTGCTTGACATGCTCACAATGACCAATTAACTTTACTACATGGTTCAGAAGAATGTAGCTGCATTGGTCCAAGTTCCTGCTGCTTGCCTGATAAGATGCTCTAACAGTTACACACAGATGTGCTCAATTCCTACAGCCTGGAGAGCCTCTATACACACAGACAGGATAGTTTCTTCATATTTCCTCACATTTTTGATACAGTGGCATAGATACATATTTGTTTTATTGGCAGTTCCCCTCCAGCTTATCCCCACAACGAAGCAATAGCTCAAATGGTGACTTGGAAAATCTGCATCCAAAAAGACTGATCAGTAAAGAGGAAGCAGAAGAACCAAAGCATTTACATTACCAGCAACTCCTAGATTTTATGAGATGAAGGCCAGACATTAAACAGAAAAGGTACTCATGTTTGCTGCAGCATACTCCCTCTTTTCCCCTACCTCACAGCACTACCTCAATTATTTGGTCACAAACAGCAGACTTGCAGCAACTGATCCTGAGAAGGAGACTGATAGAAGCTAAATCTCCCTTTATTTTACTATCAGAATCACTGGGTTCAAAGGTGTTGAGTTCATAAGTAATGATCCAAGCAACCATCCTTTCCTGGCTGCCTCGTCCAGCACAGGACTTCAGAAGACATGGTGCAGAATCCCTCAGAAGCACAGGCCATATTTAGCTAGGCTGACAGACACTGAAAAGAAAAGACTCTTTCCTTCAAGCATATTCCAAATACGAATAATTTCCCCCTTTTCTGCTCTGAACAAGATGTTTCACTCAGAATATTCCCACTGAAGTAAGCAGCACTTTTACATGGAAAATTTTATTTTATGTAAATCATACTTTCAACAGGAATATGCTTATGTTTAGAGGTTTGGTTGGTTGCTTTCTTTTTTTAAAACAAACAAACAAACAAACAAATTCTAGTCTACAAAGAACCATAGGATCCTATTTGCATCCAAGAGCCCCAGGAAAAAAAAAAATCACTGCCACATTCATTACAAAGTAGATTTGGCTAAGCGTGGCATATTACACAATCCCTTTTATTTACTGTCTAGTTTTGAGCTCTTGCACATCTCTTGCTGAGAACTGGCTGTGGATGTGCTGATGTCCTGTATGACCAGAATCTCAGTATGTCCTCATAAGAAAAACATGAGGTTCCAAGTGCAGTGGTTGAGCATATGCTGATACCTCCCAAAATGCTGTCTGAAAGGAACCAGCTGCCCTCATTAACCTCCAAAAAGATACAGGCAAACTAGACTCACAGCCAAAGCAACTCAGGTACTCAAAGGTAGTTAAAATAAATGGGCTATGCTCACATTGTCTTCCCATTCTGAGAATTCTTCTCATACTCTGTCTTGCTCCTTGGAGAGAAGGAAATCAGAAACACTCAAAGAAAAATGGGAAACACTATATGGTCTTTTCTACCTGCATGAAAATGCATCTAAAAATATACAGAAAAAAAACATCTAAAAATTTTACAGAAAGCTTTATCATGATTTGAATATTACCTATTTAAGAGTTGCCACAGTTTTATGCATTGGTCTGTTCTTTGCTGGGATAGCACTTGCTGTCTTCAACAACAAAATACATTTCAGTCCATATTCTGAAATCGCAGGGGTCTTCTAGATGTCTTCCTACCTTGGGGTATAAGACTTAATATAGAAGTCCTGTCATCAAGAATGCTTACCTGTAATATAGCAACAACAAAACATGTTTCCTCCCTGAAAAGTGACCTCATAAGGTATTCCCACATGATCTGCCATTCGAGGTGCTGGGTACAATGCTAGTTAGCCTGCAACAAGAGCCAGCTACCAGCTTTAAAAGGCAAGTATTCTTATCTTGATCACCTTGAAGTAAATAGAAGCTTTGCTCTTGATTCCAAAGGAGAAGCATCTGCTTCATTCATCCAAGCAGGTTAGAGATTAATTCAAACTAATGAACATAATTGATTTTTCAGGCATCATTAGTACTGCAAGAGTTTAAGCACAAAATACGGATCATTTTAATGAAAAAAAAAAAAGCCCTTGCAATCTGGGTCACACATAAAGAGACTTTGTGGTAATGAACCAACTGCACCTGCTGAGGAATGCAACCAAAACTAAGCCCAGCAGAAGCTACGATAAAGCACGGCTAGGTCCCAAAAGCAATGCCATGCAGTAGGATAAAGTAACTTTCTGTAGTCTGTTGGACAGATTTACTTCAAGCCACAAGCAATCAACAGCTGAGAAAGCTATATGAGGTTTTAAAAGCAAGAAACAGATCTGAAACAATGGAGTGCAACTGTCAAAACATCAAAACATTTTTCCTTTTGTTATGCGAACTTGAAATTCAAAACAGATTTTGAATTCAAACTGAAACCCAAGGCTTAGGTTCTGCTCAAACTTCTCCACATCCTGACATCTGGACCAAGCTGTCAATGTCCCTGCAAATTATGCATCCCAGTCTTGAGGTTTTTTCACCAAAAAAAAGTTTTGTTGTTTTTACAAAAATGTTCCAGACAAAAAATTAAGACATAGCACACACACTCCCACCATCCAGGCCTTATATTAAGCAGAACTAGGCTGCTTCAAGAGCTTGAAATACAGCAGACATTATCACAGAGTAATAATGTGCAATTATTCTCTGCTCCATATAACTAATGTCATGTATGTTAAGACATGATCTTCTGAATAAAACCAGATTACTACTTCCATATACATCCCTGTTAATCTGTCATACCAGTGTCTCTGCCTACCTGCTGTATCTGGCTACTTTGGGGAAAAATAGGAAAAGAAGAGGGTACTTTGTCTTAGGGGAATACCTCCCAGGTAATAGGAGAAAAAAAATGTGACATCTAGTCATTGAGACTTGGAATGTATAAAATGCATGGCATGCTGCCCACATCAAGTGCTTGCTAAAAAGAATCAAAGAGCTGTGCGCAGAGTTCACAGCAGTGTAAGAAGAGCTGCACCTGTTGTCACTCAGTCACTACTATCAAACTCCTGGGCAGATTAGCTTTAAACCACAGGGCCAAGTCTGGGTGTGCTCCACTTCACATGTGCTGCCTGCATTTTACTCATTTCACCTATTCAACAGCTCTTTAATTGCATGTAGACAAACCAAAACATGTCAGGGTCTGTTCCATCTACCCAACCATCCAAATCTCAAGTTCCTAATATTTACAGCACCCCACTACTTTTTATTATTAATACTCTGATTTAAATCCTATGAAATTCCTGCTTGCCCAAATCCATTGTCTTAGCACAGCAGCTCAATGTGATTCAGTGCGAAAGCCAATGGTATCCTGGGCTCCATCAGCAGAGGGGTGGCCAGCAGGGACAGGGAGGTGTCCCCCTCTACTCTGCTCTTGTGAGACCCCATCTGCAGTACTGTGTCCAGGTCTGGAGCCCCCAGTACAAGAAAGACAGAGGGCTGTTGGAGAGGGTCCAGAGGAGAGCCATGAAGATGATCAGAGGACTGGAGCACCTCCCCTACAAGGACAGCCTTTCAGTACCTAAAGGAAGCCTACAAACAGGAAGGGAGTCAACTCTTTGAAAGGGTAGATAACAGCTGGACAAGGGGAAATGGTTTTAAGTTGAGAAAGGGAAGATTTAGGTTGGATGTCAGGGGGAAGTTCTTTACTATGAGAGTGGTGAGGTGCTGGAACAGCTGCCCAGAGAGGCTCTGGATGCCCCGTCCCTGGAGGTGTCCAAGGCCAGGTTGGATGGGGCCCTGGGCAGCCTGGTCTAATATTAAATGTGGAGGTTGGTGGCCCTGAATGTGGCGGGGGGGGGGGGTGGAGCTTCACGATCTTTGAGGTCCCTTCCAACCCTGGCCATTCTGTGATTCTGTGACTCCTGACAAGGACTGCCTTCTAACATAACATTAAGCATGCCAAAAAGAAAGAGATGGAGAAGCAAGTTTGGAACAACTAGCAGACACATTCCCATTGCACTCAGAGGTCTTTGCAACAAAGGTAGCAAGGATATTGTTTTAATTAGCGACAAATTCTACTGGATTCATCCTTTCTATGCTCTGAATAACATTAATAATAATTCTAATAAAAAGTAGTGTGCCTGCCGTTTAGAGTTTTGAAGGAAACAGCACTTCAGTTTCAAAAAAGTTTTAGTAGGAAAGACTTTTTCCTGCAAGTATGGAAGTCTGATGGAAGCCACCAATCCACCAAAGCAACCAGGATGGAAAACAGCTTGGGACCTCTAAGCTGCATACATTGAAACGAATGCAGTGACATAGTGTCTGAGTAAGACCTTGTACACTTTCAACATAATTTCTCTTTCAGACTCAGATATACTGCTACATCTTTTGCACAGCCTTTCCTTAAAATACGCATTGAAAGTATTTGAGTTTCAGCAAAGATAGTGTATGCTCTCCGTTTTCTCCTTAATGCCATTCTGTGAATTCATATGGTGCTCAATGGAAACAAAAATTCATGGCCTTCTGCTCAGCAGTTCTGCTCTCTCTTGCACCTGGGAAAGTTAGAAGCCTCACTGAACTGGGGGCATAACTTTCCTTCAATAATGTAAAACAGGTCCATCTCCTTTCCTCTACCATAAATCTTCCTGGCAAAGCACAGCCCATGGCAGAGTACCATACTCTTATGAAAGAGCCATGCTCTTAGAGACAGCCCTTGAGGCACTGGGATTCCTTCACATCTCTGACCAACAGACCCAGGCATCACACGAGTGTTTAAAACCCGCTCTATCACAAGAGGAAATGCACTGGGCTGTAACAGGCAGCAGTTTTGTTTTATTTCCACCGAGATGAGAGTTTCTTTTCTGAGTTTGAGGTATTAGACCAGACCTCATCTCAGTATCATAGAAGTTCCCAACAGCATCCAAGAAGAAAATACAATACAGTTGCTTGCAGAGCTATAACATTGTTTCCTCGCAGTTTTTTTCCAGGACCTCAGTGAGGACACATCTCAAGGCAGACAGATGTATTACTGTGGGCTTTCAGGCCTCTTGCCAGGATACAGCACGCAGAAGCAGGACTCTGAGCATACACTGATCTGTGATGAAGTCTCACTCAGGGCCCTTAGCAATAAGGAGCAGGGAAGAAAGTTTTTCAATTTGACAATTAAAAAAAGAGAGATCAATTATTTTTGCAAAGGGTGGGAAAAGTGATTAACTGAAACTACACTGCAGAATTTGGTGTTTGTGCTGTAACTCTCAGGAGGTTTTGGCTAGCTTTTTACGTTACAGAATTTTCCGAGCAAATATGTTGCTTACTTAAAGGGAAAGATTTTATTGCCTGAAAAATACAATACACATCTGCAATTTTCTACACCCACAGCTATAATTAATCTCCTCTGATTACAGCCACTCCCTGACAAGATTCCATGTTATATTTAAACACTGGATGCCACTCTGACAGTAAAAAACAAACAGAAAACAACAGAACAATAGGATCATTTTCAAAGACTCCATAGCAGCATAAGATTTAGAATCAGCAATGTCCTTTAAATTGCACTATCAACTGCCCATCCCAGCCAGAGCTAAGAGTGACCTCTAATTGCCACTATAATGGGCTCAGAAGTCTCTTGAGAAATATAAAGTGTAGATGTTGTCTGTGCTATAGAAGAGGTATGAGATTGATGTTGTATTATACAGAAATACTTCAAACTCAATGACATATTGTTGGGGAAAGCAATACTGTGACACTCAGACTCTAAGGATCAGCCCCCATAAATAAAACCCTGGGTTGTCTAAGGCACCTGAAGAATGTAACCTTTGTACATCTTGCCAGAGGTTTGAAATAACACACACGTGTGTTTATATACATACAGATATACACTCAGGATTGGGAAGATGTACATGTCTGTAATTGTTTGCTGGAATCTACTGAAGCCTGTCTTTAGTAAATATAAACAAACACATCAAACACTGCAAATGTCAAATAAAGTCATACAAGAGAAGACGAACCTCAAAGTTAAATGAGAAGGTATTTCTTTTACTATTTGTAACAGAGTCCAATTGAGAAAAAAAAAATGTATGCTTCCCTTTAGGAACAAGCTATTAAAAGCCTTAGAGCATTAGATTTTAAAATTCAGTTTTCCTAGAAGTTATGTCATCAGGCCTGAAGGGAAACACCCATCCCAAAAGCAGCATGGCAAGTCAGATTAATCTCCTGAGCATATCCAGTAATTTCAGTGGATTCCTACCAGGGATGCATTTAGCTAAACATGTTGAGTTGGATGAAAAACTATAAAATAAGAATATCTTATCCACCCACATATGCCTCACCACGTCATGAGGCAAGGGGAAGCAAGCAGTCAGACTGCTTTTTTTCTTTTTAATTAATTTCGTTCTGTTTTATATTACAGACATCCAACTAAGATTCAAGCCCATTGTCTTCGGCATTGTTGAAAAACACATAATGAGGCACAGTCCTAGACACAAAAATGTATTGTCTAGACAAATCAGACATAGCATGTGGGGCTGGAAATATTAATCCACTCCATGAAAAAATGGCAAACAGAGGAAAAAGAAATGGAGAGATTTGGCCAAGGGTCAAAGGATAACCATCAGTCAGAGCCCTGAATTGAATCCTGAGACTTAGTCCAGTGACCTGG